GGGCTATTTCTAGGAAAATGGTGTGCCAATGAAGCAGTTTCTACAGGGCTATTTCTAGGAAAATGGTGTGCCAAGAAAGCAGTTGAGGCAGGGGTATCTCTTTAAAAAGAAAGTACTCTAACACTGAATACTGAAGATTTAGTGGTTATATGGCTTGAGAATATCAGACACATTGAACATGCCTTTGATGACTGAAATGAGTATTATCTGAAACAAGATAAAGCCACAAATAGCATCCTTTTATTCATCAAACATTTTCAGACAGTACTAGCTCTGCAAAATGTTTGTAGAAAAAGGAAGTAACCATTATGTACATGAGAGAAAAATATTCTTAGGCTTACTATATCCTACTAGGTTGTGGAACCATTTTAGTATTGGTGTATTAGGTTTGATGTCCTTCTTCAGAAAGCTTCACTTGTTTTTTTTTGTTGTTTTTTTTCACAGATCTAATGGACTGTGCTTCAAGTGTTTAACTGAATACCAAATACCTGGTCAAATTGTTTGGTCAAATAACAATATTTGGCTATGAATTGTTCATATATTTAATAAACCAAACAGGTTCATTTTTTCACAAGAAACTGGAATTAATGGTATATATAAATAGGAAATTTTGAAAAAGGTAAACAAATGTGACACTCGGTAGAATACAGTAATAGTAATATAACAGAGGACTATATAATGTTTCCAGGTGAATACTAGTATAGGTGTTAACTTTGTCTGCAACTCTCAAAATATTTCTCTGCAGAGCCTAAAGAATTTTATGAAGAGTCTAACCTTATCTGTCAAATGCTTATTCAAATTTGAACCTGTAGCATGTCCTGCAATATATGCAAGTTGTAACATCAGTAGGTGTTGTCTTAGCAGTAGTTGGTAAACAAGACATTCACAGACATAACATTTGTGTTTATTGTTTATCATGAGTGGTTTAAAATGTAAAAAAAAGGCTTGTTTGGTATTGCATTAAAATAGTTAGTGATCTTAGAAGAAAGTGCATATTGTTTAACATATTAATTTAATGTGGTGACAAAAGGAAAGTAACTTCAACTATTCTATTCTACAACCACCTGAAAAGTAAGCATGTTTAAGACTTTAGGAATTCTCAAGAAACTCTGAAGTGTATCTAATGTTAAAAGTAAGAATATGACCACAGTCGACTTGTGAGTGTTACTGAAAGAAGAAACTATGGGATATTAACATGCAAAAGAGTTACGATTTGCAGTCACTGAAATTATTGCATTGGATAACCAACTATATTCAGTTGCTATTGATGAATAAAGCATAACCACTGTACAATTTATCAAAAAATTGTCCTAACCTAATACAAAAAAAAAGTTTAAATCTGCAATTGTTGGTCAGATTTTGAATGTCAATGTTGTTTTTCTAGAATCAGGTGTCTGATGATGCTGAACAACGTATAACAGTTTACTAGTCTCAAAGGGACACTGAATTGTGGAACATATGGATTTATTACATGCTGCTCTTAATTTTCAACGTTTTTCTGGAATTCATATTACTGATGCAGTAAGGAAAATATTGAAATATCTGTTGCTTATATGGGAAACCAAAAAGAAACATTTTAATCTCTTAAAAAAATACTAAAACAAATATTGTGAAGGTTCTTCTAATGGATTGTCAAGTGAATCATGTTTTATCCACACATTACTACTTCTGATCATGAATGCTGTACAATGCATAAATTGTGCATGTAGTCATTATCATAACAGTCAGTAGAAAGATGGTTACATATTTTAAACACTCATTTCTATCATGTTCAAAGTTAATGGCTATATTAAACAACTTAAATATGCCTCGAAAAAAACATATACAAGATTTGCAGAAAAGATGGAAAGTCTTTGAAACAAAAGAGATCAGTATGCTTTTATGCCACTGACAACGTCATCATCCATGTCAAAAATAATTAGTGGTCCCAATTGGAGGGATGTTTAAAATTGCTACAACCATTAACTAAAAATTACTAAAACATTAGCTTCACAGAATCAGCAATTTCAGAAACTGTCCCAGCTGTGACTATTTATCATCATTTATTGAAGTATGTCACAAGCGACACAAGATAGTGGAAGTGACATAGATCAATCGAACCAACACTTTCAAAAATTTTATGTCAGGAGACATGACTCATCCTTAGATTTCTAGGGTAAAATGCATGCAACAAGCTATGGCATTAATGATATTAGCCAGACAGGTCAAAACAAAGATTTTGCTCTCACCAGTGAAGTAAATTTCTATTTATCTCTACCACTTTAAAATAAAATGTAATGTATTTTTGTGGTAGAAACTGAATGAGGACAATTTCCAGTATTATCCCAGCATGAATATTCTGGTGATCAGTCCCAGCCATCAGTAAGTACGTAGTAAGTGTATGTTCTCAGAAGTCAGCAACATTTATGATGCAAAAAGAAACCAGTTGCTTCCATAAAATGCAGAGCTGCTGCTATTTTTGCATCATGCTCTTAAACTCCTTAAATTTATGTACTGAACAAGGATATCTGAGAAAGAAGGCCTAATGAAAAAGTGAATATTGCCGTGTGTCATCAGTAAGTAAGATTGGTTGTGATATATTTGTATGGTTGTAGTTTCACAAGAATACAAAAAAACTCAACTGATTCATAAATATTTTAATAAGAAAACAGTGCCTTATACTAAGAATCTTAAAAGTTAAGTTTCAAGACTAAGATAGCTGATTAAAATAGACTAATTTAGATTAAAAAATATTAAGATGGTTGCTTAAAAAGCTGTAATATTCACTTATCATACTGAGATTATTTCAGATCACTAAGTTTAATAAGGTTTGTTTTTGATTAAAAAAATAAGCAGAGTAGTTTGCTTTGGAAAATATCAAAATTAAATGTATTTATGCAAACAAACACAAAACTGGTTTTATTGATGAATGAGTTAAAGGCTTTTTTTAATCTTTACTAAAAAAATCAAACTTGTCAGTATTTTGATTATTCTACATTAATAAAGTTGTCAGTTTGTTATTTATAACTTTCTACTTTGTACTTTCAAATATTCAACAAAATGACTGAATAGGTTGCATACCATATATTGCATAACAGAATACTTGTTACAACTCTTTTTTTTTACTTGTTCTTTAGTTTGTATTCTCTTGATTGATGTTTTTTTACTTGACTGGCATTTTGTGTTGTAGTTATGTAGCTATTATATGTAGAGCTAAGTTTTTACATGTCTTGTTAAGGATTTTTTTGAGACAGCAATGCCTCTTCATTTGTTTTTGTCTTACACCTATGTCAGTTTTCAACCAGCTGATATTTTATTCTAACTTCTCCTAAGCCTCTTTTTCCCATGCCTGACGAAATGCTTTTATTTTTTCTTTCATCCCTTTAATCCATGTCAATATATGATTCTGGGTTTCTGCCCATTCATATGTAAGTTATCACATGGTGTGTATTTGAAGTCTATATTTCTAGAATTCAAATGAAATTTAAATATATATCTGCAAATAGACATACATTTTCCTCCCTTCCTTCCCATGTCTGATTTTCGATGTTAAGATGGCATGCCCACCATGCAGTAAGTCTGAGGGTTCACACTGTTAAAAACCAGGTTTCAGTATTTGTATGATAGTCTATTGTGTAGCTTTGTGCTTACAAACAAACAGAGAAATAAAATGTCATAAAGTATAAGTAACTCGGTTGATTTTCTATGCCTATTTTTACATCTACATATCATTTTTTTGTGGTAAGGCTCTTCATGAACTCTTTTAGACATTTGTAAGCAGAGAGTGTTGGTAGAGTCTTGAGAAAATTTTAATGACAACATGTTAGAGTGAAAGCTTACTCTCCACCTAGAGGTAAATTAATATCTGATGAACTTAATTTTCATTTGAAAAATAAATTGAAAACTGATTGTTTAATAATTATTACCTCAGTTTTTACTTCTTTTTGTTTTCAGATTTGAGTTTTTTGGGTTGTTAGTGGATATTTAATTGCAACTCACACACTTGATTGCACACTTAATTTTCAACAGTTGATGAATCAAAGATCTTAAAAGATTATTGTGGTTGAAGATGTGATGTTTTAAACTTTGATTTTCTAAACAGTTGATTAAATTTAGGTGTGCCATGGAGACATCAAACTAGAAAATATCATGGTGACTGGGTGGAATTGGGTTCTGCTAACAGATTTTGCCAGCTTTAAGCCAACTTACTTGCCAGAGGTGAGTTTCAGGTTTTTATTGAGTTATTGATATTTAGGAAAATGTCTTATTTAATGAAATTTGTACAGTACTTATACAAACCCCACATTGTTTTATACTGGTTATTTTGATATATGTAAAATGTTTTAAATCAAAATTAGCAGTGCACAACATACATATTCCTTTGTTTCTGGACTAGAAAACAATTTAAGTGAGATATATGTATGTCTTTTTGATTTCCTAGGACAATCCAGCAGATTTTTCATATTTCTTTGACACATCACGTAGACGTACCTGTTACATAGCCCCTGAGAGATTTGTCAAAACACTAAACTCGGATGTTGTGCAGAGTAATACTGTTAGTAACCTAGTTCTACCAGAAGAGGAGATTAAAAAAGGAGACTTGAATGCAGCTATGGATATCTTCTCTCTTGGGTGAGAAACATAGATTTTCTTCTCTCTTAGGTAAAGAAGATATATATATATGTATATATTGTTATTGAGGCTGATCTGCAACTAATGTGGATATCTTTTGTGTAAGCAACATAGATATGTTTACTTCCATGTAAGTAATATGTATATATATACACACATACCTTCCTTCCCTGTTTAATGAATAACATTGCTATCTTCAGTCTTAGGTAAAGAAGATATATATATATATATGTATATATTGTTATTGAGGCTGATCTGCAACTAATGTGGATATCTTTTGTGTAAGCAACATAGATATGTTTACTTCCAACATTAGTTGCAGCTCAGCCTTAATAACAATATATATACATATATATATCTTCTTTACCTAAGACTGAAGATAGCAATGTTATTCATTAAACAGGGAAGGAAGGTATGTGTGTGTATAGATATACATATTACTTACAAAGGAGGTTTCTGGAGAACTGTCATCACATGATGATGTTACAATGCACAAGTGCAGTTCACATTAAACACGTCTTTTTTTTTAGGTGGGAGTTAGCTGAATGTTAGTGGCATGAAAATCTCATAAGCCAAAAGAATCAAGTTATTCTGTGTAAAGAGGTGAGATATTGTCTCTGAAATATCATGTTTGTGATTCCCGTCTCTGTCTTATGCAAAAGTACAAATTTCCTTCCTTTTCGACAGCCAGTCTCTCAGTTACAACAAACGTAGAAGCCAGCCAGTTAGTATTAATAATCAAGAGAGTAATTACCAATGTTACTTTCCCAAGACAGAAGATAGCAATGTTATTCATTAAACAGGGAAGTAAGGTATGTGTGTGTATAGATATACATATTACTTACATGGAAGTAAACATACCTATGTTGCTTATACAAAAGATATTCGTACAGTGACTCTCTATAAGCATTTGCACTCGTAATAACTTCATTCTTTTTCTTGGCATTATCTAAAACAGATGTGTTTTTAGAATTATTAATCAATTACATGAGATTTGTGATAATTTATGAAACTGAAATGTTAAATTTTAAAGTTGAACTGGTTTCTTTTATTAATAAAGAAAAAAAAGCATTTTTTTTGCTTATTCATTATGAATTCTCAAGTGACAATCACTTCCACTTTGTCCCATGATAGTGATGATGTAACATGTGACCTGTCTATTGCGGCTACTGGGGGATCATTGTCTGTGGAAGACTTGACAGCCATTTTTTACCATGTTGTGAGTTCTTTCATGCATACTGGGCTTCCTATCCATTTGGTTGATGTTTCTTCACCAGCCTTTGTCCTACATTTTTGTCTGAAAGATTGGTTATTCAAGTTCTCACCCACAGCCTGTCTCTTCAGTTCCTCCCCATTTTCCATTTCCTTTCCTCTTCTCTCCATTCCTCTTTGTCTTCAATGTCTTTAGGATATGGTTTCAGATCTCTTGGTCGAGAATGTCATTGAGAGGGTATTTACTCTTACACATGGTTATTACTCTTGTCTTCTTGTGGTCCTTAAGAAGACTGGGAACTAGCATTTGGTTATGGATCTATCATATCTCAACTAGTTTGTTATTACACCCCAACTCTGTACGGATTGTTTCTTTTCTCTCCAGTAGTTTGTTTCCTCCAGATTAGTTGACCAAAGTTGACATTTTGGACACCCCATCATTCAGGTGTTTTCTTTATTTCATCCATATGGATTGGGTTTTCCAGTTTCATGCTCTTTGTTTTGACATCTTATGCCTTTAATTGAGTCATGGATCATTTGCCTGTTTTGTTCATGGATTGGGGTTGAGGTTCCATTATAAGATGGATGGATGAATGGCTTCTCCATGCCTCTTCTTGGGAGAACTTCTGCATCCTTCTGCTGGAGGCTGCTCAGTTAGGCTGGCTTGTTAAACCTTTCAAGTCTTTTCTCATGCCAATCTGATATTTGGTACATTTGCCATGTTCTTTAACTCCCATCTCAGTTGAGATCAACCTTTACCACTTTGCATATGAGCAAGGAAATGTCTTGTCACCAAGGTTTGTGCTTCTCTTTTACACCCTGTGCATGAGGTTCGTTTGCTTTTGGGAACTTTAGCTTCCTCTCAACCACTCATTCATTTAGGTCACACACACATGCCTGTTCCAATGAAAATAGAAGGACCAGTGAACATTTCTTGGGACCTGCTGTGCTCGATTGTGTACCTCTCTTCTCCTCTTCTTGAGGATTTGTCTTGGTGGCTGAACTGTGCTAACACCACAGTGGGCATCCTCTTGCCTTGCTTCTCTCTGACCAGATCTCCATCTCTTCACAGATACTTTTCTGTCAGTGTGTCAGCTCTGTAGGCGCATTCACTCCACATCAACATCCTTGAAGTTCCTGCCATCTGTTCGGAATTTTCCCTTTTTTTCCCTCTTCTTGTGGATGATGCTCTTTGTCAGGTCCTTTTGGTTACACCTCCTTGGCCAGGAGAATTCTGATCTCCTCTGCTTTGGCAATTGGTATCCAGCCCCCCCCCCCTCTTCTTCTACCCCATTCCCATACTTCAACCATGTCTCTTTCACCCATGGCTCACCTTTCACCTTTTTCACATGGTTGCTCAACCATGGATTGCTGGTTTCCACTATTGATGGTTATCAGGCAGCTTTATTAATTAAATTTTACCTTTCCCCTTACTGTTAGGTTTTTCTTGTCCTGTCCTCTCTATTTTTTTCTGATCCTCCCTTCTTCTCTGACCCCGTCATTCTACTCCCATGTCTGACTGTAACTTTGATGTACTTTTATACACTCTTGCATATACTCTGTTGGAGCCATTGACTTTATGTTCATTATACCATTTTTCTCTGAAGACATATTTTCTTCTTCACCCCTGTGGTCACCATTGTTCATATATATATGCCATTAATGCTTTCTACACTTTTTCTCTGTACTTACTTACTTCCTCTATCTAGACCAGGGCTTTCTTCTTAAGACTTTGGCTGCTCTGGAAGGTGATTGTTCTTTTACATTTTGTTGCATCAGATTTGTCCACTGTCTCGCTCTTTTGTGTCTCACTTGCACTGACCCTTGGATGTGATCCTTCAGGCTGGCATGTGGATGAAACTGCACACTTTCTTCTCCCATTATCTTCATCATCTGATTAGTTAATCTCTTGTTTTGACTCCCTATAGTTGCTGTTCTTCAATAAAACTACATATGTTTCAAAAGAGTGAGTAAGTTTTATTTTTTCATAACCATTTTCCATTTTATAGGATCCCACCAATTGGCTGGTGGTGCCTCCCAAAGTATGCTTATTTCCCAAAATCTGCATCCACCATGGCTTTACCAGTGCTCATTGATGAGATGGAGTGTTGTAAGACCACTAGAAGTATCTTTGTAACCCATTCTATGGACTATAATGAAAAAGCAGGAACCAAGGAAGTGACTGCTCACTTCTTTGGCCTATGTTTGCTGGCTTTTAAAAATAAGGTTTCATGGTCACTCATTGCACTAGCTTCAGTAAAAGACTTCTGGCAGGCATCAGATGGGGATCTGGGCACGTCTGCAGGTCTCCCCAATGTGAATTCTTCCCCCTACTTCAAGTGGAGCAAGGAAGATCCTTGCTACCTACCAGTTCCTAACAATGGGCTGATGGACCTTGGATATTTCGTCAGTGATTGCCTATAGTACAATACAGTGAGAAGTTGGGTGGTGGTGGCACTGTTTTCTTTGTAGTGTGTCCTTCTCCTCCCAATCAAGCACCTGCACACAAATAGTTGACGAGTCAAGAAGTGTAGTGTAGTTAGAGTACAATCACACCATACAGTGTGGGTCTCATCTTGACAGACAGAGAAATGGGTGACAAACCCATTTTGCTATCATGCTAAAATTCTTCCCATCCCTATGACACTTCAGGCCCTTGCTTTCTGAAGGGAGCTCATATAAGTTTAATATTTGCAGCAACCCCTCCATCATTTTGATGTGGGATTCCAGATATTCTGCATGGAGGTGATGTATCGTCTCACTTCCAGTTAACAATTTCCTTACTTGAAAATGTATTTCTGAAAGATATCTCTGCACACTTTTCTACCCATCCTCCTCACTTCCAGTGCATTTTCTTCTTGCCTTTTCTAAGAATGAAGTTATTTAGAGTGCAGGTGCTTAGAGGGAGTCACTACATATGGAGCTTGTGTTGCCCTACTACTGGTGGAGGGCTATTGTTGCATGGTGATCTTATTATGTACCAGTGCATTTTGCATCAAACACATGACTTTTAGATGGAAGTTAGCTTGAGGCTAGTGGCATGTGAATCTTATAGGCAGATGCACAAGGAATCAACATGTTCTGTGTTTGGAGATGAGTATGTATTAGAAATACATTTTCAGGTAAGGAAAATGTTAACATCACATTAAGTCAAAACAAAGTTTTTTTTATGTGATATCCTATAATACTAGAATACCTAAGTTATTGATCATTGCCATTATACATTTGAGAGCGATAAATCTTTGGCTTATATTAACTTACACAAGCTTATGTACCACCCTTTGAAAAATCAAGCCTAACTCCAGGGGGTCATGACATAGGGTCAAGCTGTTATAAGTCTTATTGAACAAATGCTGTGGTATGTAAATTTTGTCCAAGATACAAGATTAGCACAATTTTACAAACTTTCATGCCCTAGTTTTCAAGGATACTAACTAATTATATGAAGAACAACTGAGAAGTCTTCCCTAATATACTTCAATAAACATCTTATTTCTTAGTTAAGGAGGAGTGGAATTAGCACTTATTTTAACTGCAACATCTTCTCCCTTCCTTGACCTCAGGGTCTTGCTAGGACAAAATTTCAAAATTCAACATTAAAGGCTAAATTAAACATGCCAACATTTATGGGCAAATACAAAATGTCTTTGCCAAACAATCCCAACATGGCCAGTTTTGACACCAGAAAAATTTAAAACTGTCTATATCACTGCTTTGAATCTGCAAGAAGGTATCTTTGCATGAAATCCCATATTAGTTGGTTTTCATACACTTGAATAGTTCATAAA